CCCCAAAACCCCAAAACCCCAAAACCCCAAAACCCCAATTTATAAATAAAATATTGGTTATTTGAGCAGTTAAATATGAGTCAGAAATCTAGAGATAATCGGGATAGTTTGGAAAGAGAAGTCTATATGGACAGTTTAATACTGGTGTCACCGAAACTTAATAGTTATAAAAGCAGTTTTTTGAAAATAGATGGGTGTTCACAAGCTAAAGGATCTAATTTAGCCATTCAGACTCTGAAGGATAAGAGTTATAATGATGACTGTTATTCCAAAGATGCTCATATACTTAATGAGTCAACAATGGATAGAGAGAGTACACTGTATCTTGGCAGAGAAAGTACTACTATAGCCACAAGTATAAAAGAGGAAGTTTCTAAACTAAGGAACTCATCAAAGGGGAACAGTAAAGCACAGCTGTACACTCCAAGACTCAAGATGCCTTTCAGTTCTATCAAGCCTATCACTCCAGTATTGAGAAAGAAAATAAACCTAAAAACAGCTTCGACTACTATTTCTAAGGGTAAGTCAATCATAAAAATTTATCAAAGTGCCATGAAACTTCTATCTCATTATCAATACCTTTGCGGAAAGACATGTTTTCGTAATATGGGAATTGGTGATCCAACATTTCAGAAATTTAGAAAAATGCCAGCATTTCATTATACTATTGACTAAACCTTTATATAGTCTCTCGAAATAAGCTGTCCAGTGAGTGAAAGAGTCTGAAATGAGCATCAGGATTAAGCCAGAAAGCCAAGACTCTTAAGAGAACAGTTACTGATATTACGAGGAAAAGGAATACTATAACTTCCTTGAAGCCAGCGAAGACTATTAGTAAAAATAGTACTCGGAAAACTACTAGTAATTTAATAAAAGGGAAGAAGAAATCCCCTTTGGCAGCAAAATCAAAGCAAGCAAAGATTAATTCGAATTCAAGAAAGGCAATAAAAGAGATAGAGAAGAAGGAAATGCCTTTCAAAAGAGCCAAGACTTTTAAATTACCTCAGCCTGATTTAAGCATGTGCAAGACACCAAAGAATAAAGCTCAAAGAAATAGAAATTGTAGGAATAGTATTACTGCTATTTCAAATAAATTTAAGCCGTCTCTTGGAAATCTCTTAACACCTGTCAGGAAATCATCTCGAAATAAGAGCACGAGTGGAAATGTAACTCCCAAGCAAAACTGTGCTACTAATATTCCATTAGCTGATAGAAATACTACTCTAAAGAAGAGCCCTAAAAGACAGAATCTACTTATGAAGAAAGGCATGTGTGCTTCAGAGAAGACCAAAAAGGCACAGAAAAAGACTGTTCTACAAGAATATAAAGACGCTAGCTTATCTACCAAGAAGGAGCCATTCTCTAAACCTATTCCTTATATCGAGAAGGTCAAGAAGGAATGTCTAAAAGAGAAAGATGACCTTAAGCAGCCATCCAATAAAATCGGAAGAGTTGAGTTAATTAAGAAGAAGAACTTAAAAAGAAAAGAGAAAATAAAATGTTCTAAGACAATTCATCCTGAAATAAAGATGAACTTAGGTACTAAATTCGAGCAGCAAGCGATGGAGACTGAAAAGAAGGAGCTGGGCACTTACAAGCCTATGTACTTAAAGTACAACCAGAATGAAGTCTCAAGAGAGCTGTTCTACCCACTTAATTCTATAAAGGAGGTCATTGGGGAAGATACTAACACTACAGGGAAGTCTAGTGGTAAAGTAGTCCAGTTTATGAATACTGACCAGGTTAATAATGAACTAGCTCACTCTTTAAGTGAGGTATCAACGCCTCAGGAGTGTACAGAGATCATTGAGCCTTATGAACAAGGGCCTCATCAAAAGGATACTCTTGATGAAATAAAAATTTTCATGAACAATATCGAGCAATTTGATGAAAATACAATGCCAAATGAGAAAAAGAGGGATTCTTATTCACCTGCTTTCCTAGAGCTATTAAATAGTGAAGTCATAGAGGATTCACCAAAGAACAAGAACTCTGATAAGAGATCAGAGCAATGACACTACAATGAGAAAAGCCAAGAACTCTCATGGAATAAAATCACAAATAATTTGTTGCTGAATCAGACATTTAGTGATTACTCTCATGAGTCTAGTGATAATATTCTGACAAGTATTGATGATTTCTTGAAAGCAAATAGGAAAGAAGTTAGTCAACAAGAATTATTTCTATAGAAGCCAGCAACGGCACCTAAAAGAAAACGAGAGGTATCGAAGGAGAAGCCTTTGCATAAAATTTTATCTACAAAGGAACCTAAAAAGATCTTTAGCATCAACAAGGAGAAAGAGATCCAACTTTTGGAATCAAAATTCTCTGAGCCTTCGGATATCTTCAACCTTAGCAAATCTAGTAAAGGGAGAGGACATGAATCAGCGAGACAAACTGCTGAGGAGATGAGTGATATCTTCAAAAGTGATATTAGTACTCTGAAAGACTTTTCAAACCTCTGAAGTTCAAGGACCACTCCTATAAGTCTGAAAAATAAAATTAAAGCAAAGAAATGTAGTGGAGTAAGTCAATAAATATTTACTTTTAGGTTGTAAATCAAACAGAATGTGAGATCTCATGAAACTCACTACGACTGAATAAGGACTCAGATGTCCATCCAAAGAGCGAACTTGACTTACGAGTCTGTCGAAGAGCAGCTAGGAAACAAGGAGAGTTACCTTCTACAGATAGCATTCATTTCTTGGGAGAATATATCAATTAATAAAAACTTAACAGGGGTTTTGGGGTTTTGGGGTTTTGGGGTTTTGGGG